AGGGGTTGCCGTTTGAAAAAAAAAAGTTGGGGGCCCCCGTCCCCCCCTAAGGGGGGGGACCAAAATTTTGACCCCCCCCAAAAGATGGTCCCCTTTGAGATAGGAACATCCCCAAAGTTTCATTTCCCTAGCTCAATTCGTTCAAAAGTTAGAGGGGGGGTCGGGGACTTTTCGCTCACCCTGTATGATTTATTAATATATTAAGAATTACTTAATTTTATCATTGCAAATTTAAACATACTCAGTTAAAAGGTATTAAATTAAAGCTGTGACTCATTAAAATTGCGCTCACCGCTGAGCGCTTCTCTAATACCCACGTATTAGAGCTTTCTCCCTTGTTTCTTCTTAAGTTAGCAATCAAATGTTTTTATCCATGAAAGGCAAATGAAACAATACGCAAACATTACAGTCCGGGCGCACTCGTAGGCCCGTGGGACCCACACGCTTCACGCCTTTTAGCCGCAATTCTTAAAACTAAGATGTCTCAAACTCTATTAAAATATATTTTTAACTTCCATTACGAATCCTACGACCCAATAAACCTCTAAATTGACACATATCTTGCTATTATAAGGTCAAAGCTGACAATATGATCCTCTAGCGGATAATTTTGGTGGCCATCTTGGATTTCGGACTTCTTAAGGGGCCATGGTGAATTTTTAATTCAATATTTGGATTCTACGACCAGAAATCTATAGAGTTCAATACGTTACATGATATAAGAGACTGTTATAGAATTTTTGGTACTAAAATTTCAGCAATTTTGGCTGCCATCTTGGAATTTGAGGCCTTCAATGAGTCGCAAAGGATTTTTCAACATCATTTTTCGATTTTACAGCTCAAAAATGTTATGAAAGACACCACACATACCATATAGGAGCACACGTGCCCGTTTGACTTATAGGATGGGCCCATGTGGCCGCCATCTTGGATTTAAGGGTCTTAAAGAAGTCGGAGTACATCTTCAAGCACATATTTGAAATTTCCGATCAAAATTACAAAGGAATCGACATTTTTGTCGAACATGGGAGTCAGTTTCACCGGCCGCACCCCCGTGGCGGCCATTCTGGGCGCCATCTTGAATTTAAGAGTGCTCCGAGAAAAATTGAGCCTGGCAACATCGAAATTCTGTTTTAGGACATCAAAACGAAGAGATTGAGCCATCTCGCCAACTTGTGTTACTAACGGTTCCGCGGGACCCCTAGAATGGACAAGTGCGCCTGGACTGTTAAAAAAATAAATCAATTGAGAAAAAATAGACAAAAAAAATCCTTTAAGAAAAACTAATGGAATGACTAATTGATTTGATGACGCCACTTCATGGAGGCTCGCCTCGCGAGCCGCAAAGTCACCCTTCAGGCGGGTAACCGGGGGTGCAGGGGAGAACTCCCTGGCAAACCCGCGGGAAGCGCGCCAAGCAGTAAGCTTGCATCGCGAAAAATTTTGCACTTTCTTTCTGGATGCCTGTTGGGTCATTCCATTGTAACGGGCGTGACATAGGGCTGTTCTATCGGTTGTCGGTAAGCTACCGAAACAGTTCCGTTAAGAAAAAGTTACGATAAGAGCGCTCTTGCCGATAGCGATCAGAGTTTTCGGAGCTGGCGAAAATAAGATGTTGCCATTTGTACATCTATTTTACGCGCCGCCGCGCCAGGCAATCTGATAAACCTACACGCAGGGCAACAATGCATTAAGTGCGAGCTCTCAAAACTCCGATAAGGCCGGCTGTTGTCGATATCATCGCCACTGTCGGTACTGCCGCCAGTTTCAATAAGAGACGATGTCGATAGTGTTCCGGCAAGAATTCGTTTGAACACCCCTAGCGTGACAACAATTTAACTTTAAACAAGAATTTGAACTCTTTCTTGGGGTTTAATTAAAAAATTATCTGCTGTGGTAGAAATAACTTTTTTTTATAGATCATTTCAGTTTATCAGAAATTGTTTTTAACTTTGTTCCATTCCTCAGAAAAAATTAAAAGACTGCGTAACGGGTGTGACCGATTTTGGAAGTGAGTTTTTCCTCAGTGAGTGTAAAGTGGAAACTTAGCGAATTTTATGAATGTAAAAATCTGATTAAATTGTATGATGAAGCCAAGGGTTTTTGCTTCAACTGCCGATGATCCGTTTTTAATTATCTTGTTTTCTTTCCTTGAAAAATGGGAAAGTTTGCGTAACGGGTATGACAGATTGCCTCTCAGAGGTCCATCATTTCTGAGAGAGTTTAAAAAGTTAAAAAACTTACTTTTTTTCTCATACTTCTATTGTAGGCAATCCTAAGCAGTAAATTAATCAACAATTTGACGCAATTTTCTGTAGAACATGCCAAAACTACATTTTTCTACAAGGTGGCCCAGACCTACCGTTTGCGTAACGGATGTGACAGATTGTCTCTCTGAGGTCCATCATTTCCGAGAGAGTTTAAAAGTTAAAAAACTTATTTGGTGTCGATGTAAGTTAAAAAGCTCCGCACTTTCTGATTTCAATTAGATAAGTACACAATTCTTACACAAACCTTGACTTTTGAAATACGGACGGCCCCTTAACCTCCCAAGGGGAGTCGGGAGGACTCTGGGACCAAGAAATTCAGATTCCTCAGAGGCGATTCCCCATTCGTCCCCGCGGTCCTGGATCTCGCATGACCCAAATTGACCAAAAAAAACCCTGGTACGGTAGGTCTGAGCCTATAGTAAAGTGAAAATATTTCAATCAAATCGGAGAGAGTTCAACGAGTTCTATTTGAAGTCCTTTTGAGATAAAGTGTATCCACTTTACATACTGAAATATGGCATAAATTTTGGCTATCTCTTTCTTATTAGATGTATACATAACCTCTAATTGTGCATATGAGTGTATTTCTTGTGATAACCATAGAAATAATGGTGAGAAGTGAGGCAACACATGCACAATTGAAGCCTCTTCTCATTGGTCACACCCGTTACGCATTTTTGCCCATCAATTGTTGAAATAAAAATTTGGAAAAAATACTCCGAAGCTGTACTTGACTTGAATACGTATGGAAAAAATTGGCATCTCAAAATGACATGAATTAAAATAGTTACATTAAAAAACCCATGATTTGCGTAACGGGTGTGACAGTAGGGTGGCCCAATTATACACAGGAAAATTTATTTTGCGAATTTTTTTGGTCTTACCCCCTAGAACTGTTCCATTTGATCAAAAAACACTCTCTGCCAAGTTTCAGCCAAATCGGATAATATTAACCCGTGCCGACAGAGCCCTCTTTTTTATGTGGGATCTTACATTGAAAAACACTTTTTTCCAGAAAAATCCATTTTTCGAAAAATATGTAATTCCTAGAAAAAATCTGAGGTCATATTCGGCTTCAGCAGGAAAAATTGAGTCGGAAAACATGTATTGGACACTTCAAAAAAAAATTTTTACCCCTCGTAATAGCGGCGAAACAACTGTAACATCTAAACGCTAAAAAAGGGAAAAATGACGGTGATAAATCCCAAATAATTACGTACGCCTGCATCCGAAAACGAAGCTCAACATATGGTAGGTGTAATATAAGTACTTTTTTACGCTAAGTCCGAAAATGCTACCCATTTTTCTCTATTCCATCAGGATTTTCCGGAAAATCGATTTTCTTGTATAAAAAGAGGGTTTTCCGGGGAAAACTCAATTTTCAGGAATTAAACCTCTACATGTGACGGATGTTTTTTAGGTGTTTTTCAACGTTGAGTCCGAAAATGATGTCAAAGCTGCTCCATTACATCGGGATTTTCCGGAAAATCGATTTTCTCGTAGAAACAGGGTTTTCTGGGGAAAACTTAACTTTCAGGAAATGAACGATTGACTTGTAAAAGATGTTTTTGGTGTGTTGTTTAACGGTGAATTCGAAAATCATAACCGTTTCCCTCTATTTCACTAAGAGTTTCTCAGAAACTAAATTCTTTCCGTAAAAAAGGTAATTTTCCAGGGAAAACTCGGTACAATCGATTTTCCGGAAAATCCAGATGTAATGGAGCAGCTTTGACATCATTTTCGGACTCAACGTTGAAAAACACCTGAAAAACATCCGTCACATGTGGAGGTTTAATTCCTGAAAATTGAGTTTTCCCCGGAAAACCCTCTTTTTATACAAGAAAATCGATTTTCCGGAAAATCCTGATGGAATAGAAAAAAATGGGTAGCATTTTCGGACTCAGCGTAAAAAAGTACTTATGTTACACCTACCATATGTTGAGCTTCGTTTTCGGATGCAGGCGTACGTAATTATTTGGGATTTATCACCGTCATTTTTCCCTTTTTTAGCGTTTAGATGTTTCAGTTGTTTCGCCGCTATTACGAGGGGTAAAGATTTTTTTTTGAAGTGTCCAATACATGTTCTCCGACTCAATTTTTCCTGCTGAAGCCGAATATGACCTCAGATTTATTCTAGGAATTACATATTTTTCGGAATATGGATTTTTCTGGAAAAAAGTGTTTTTCAATGTAAAATCCCATATAAAAAAGATGGCTCTGTCGGCACGGGTTAATATTATCCGATTTGGCTGACACTTGGCAGAGAGTGTTTTTTGATCAAATGGAACAGTTCTAGGGGGTAAGACCAAAAAAATTCCGACATTGCCAAATTTGGGCCACCCTAGTGTGACAGTCAATACACTAAGTTTTAAAAGTGACATATAATATACAGTAATTACTTTTACAAATTGAAATTTTGCAAGAGCACATTGAGTCAGCTTCTTGACAACTGCAAACATAACCTGAAACTTGCTTTTGGCGGGAACACCAGAAAACATTGCTACCAAACTGTCACTCTTTTTACAGTAGGATGAAGCTAAGCAACGGGGTTACAAAACACGTAAAAATTGCGAGAAAAAAAAACAAAACGGAGGTAAACCCCATTTATTTAAAAAAAACTAGGAGTATTGAGGAGTCCAAAAATAAATCTCGTTGGGTCATTTGGAGGAGGAAAAAATACCCCCCGGACTACCTACACGTGGAAGGACCCTGTTGAGTTGAAATGCTTACCTTTTCTCCAAAATTTTCTGTCTGTTATCCAGAAAGAGTAAACTGTCTTTATTATTATTTTTCCTATAATATAAAGGCCTATTGGCCCACTGGTTACTTAAAACTGTTATCGTCTTTACATTGTCATGTGCTCTGGATGTTCGAAAATAAAGCTGCCCCACAAGGACTTTAATCCTTCCAATGGTCACAGAAACATCTAAGAGCAAAAAGAGGAAAATCAAATTAAAATAAGTAATAAATTCTCAAAGTAAAATATGGCTTTGGAATCCTACTTTTCATGGATCAAAAAAAAAAAAAAAAAAAAAAAAAAAAAAAAAAAAAAAAAAACAAGCAGTGATCTCCAACACAATGTGTTGATAAGGCGCGTCATTAACTCGCACGTATCAACCCCTTTAGTTTTCATTTACAGAGATTTCAAAATAGGCTAGTAGCACAACAAGAGAATTTATACGATCCAACACTGCGAGGTCAACGACGCACTTTAACGAGACCGTGTATTGTGAATCTAGAAAGCCATTCGAACGAGTTTAAGTTTTTTGATCTGCCTCAAGCAAAATCTTATTAGATTCTAAAAGAATAGTTCTACGTAATAATTTAAGCGAAGAAAGGAAAAATTCTGTCAAACTCCTGAAAGATAAAGTCGATTTAAAGGTATTTTGGGGCTAAAATACCCAAAATCACCGTTATTATAAATCCTGTTATGTTTTTGAAAAGAAATAGACTCAGTATAAATGCAATTGCATTAAATATGTCCAAATTTTGCTATTTTAAACGTATTTCCATGCAAAGAAGTTCAACCATGTCGTTGCTTTATTCATTCATGAATTGAAAGTAAGCAATCTACATCCCGAAAATCTACCGATTTGCTGTAAAAAATTGCATAAACTTGATATACCAGGTCGGTGCACCCACTCGTTGAATTTACCAACCAATTTCGTGAGTGCACATATGTAATAGTCGAAATGTGGCGACTCCCTGACGTGAAAATTAGATACTACGTGTAAAAATACTTACGTATCGATATGTTGAACAGAAACCAAGCGAGGACACAGTTAGCAGTCCGCGGCAACATCAATTCAACAGAATAACGGCAAAAATTAGATCGGATTTAAGCCGCTTTGTCCGCCTCTCCTCGTTATTTACGAACCGTTTCTATACTCATCTCAAAATTTTTCTCAGAGCTTTGTGTTCTTATCAGCTTCCATTTAAATCCCGATTCGATGGCCGAATCGGCTGCCGAAAGAGCAAGCCATTTTTGAAAGGTTCTATGAGAAATTCGTGATATTATCGGCTCTCAGGAAATAGCCCCATCGCTAAAATTGGTGGTCTAAATGTTTGAGTGCGTAAAATAATCGTATTCAAGAAACTAAGGCATTAAACTATGGAGTCAATTTCTTTTCAATAATAAAACGGGATTTACCACCGGTGATTTAGCTATTGTAGCACCAGAATACTTTTTAAGCGCCTTCACTTTCCAGAATCTTGACGGAATTTTTTTGGCTTACACGAATCAAGAGACACTGTAGTTAAAAAATACAAAGAATTTTCGATTTTGACCCCAAAAAAATGTTCGTTGATGCACACCGTGTATTGTATGGAGTACTGCTGCTATTCAACCCCTGTCTTCAGGTCAAAATTCTTACAAGGAAGCCCCATGCAAGAGGCGAATTTTGGCGCGTATACGTAGTATACCGCCTTTGCGATCGTTTCGCCCCCCCCCCTTCGATACAATAACCGTGTCCCTTAGTTCCTTACCGGAAAGTGACCACCGCGAACTTCTGAGATTTTCCAAAGCAGGTAAAAAGTTTACTCTTCCGTCAATAATTATGATTTAAAGTTCTCTCTCATTCTGGGGCTTTCTAGTTTATGTGCAATGAATACCAAGAATCTACGTTACTTGGTTTTTTATTTAAAAAAGCCTAAGAATACTCATTGCTGATGTAAAATATGCATATATAAGCAGAAGCAAGCAAACTGATTCGAGGATGGCTGAGCAGGTCGGCACTCTTCGAAAGAGAATTTCACTCCTTCGTTTTGTTCAAAACGTTGCTTTGACAGGACTCCGCACCCCTGTTATGGTTTTCAAAATTTGGTACCACTGCTCTGATAGCTAGGCAGCCGTAAGTGCAATCTGTGATGAGCCTGGAGACTCATTAGAATTAGACCATTTGCTAAACGTGGCTCATACAGGAATCCACTTAGCCCTCTCTTCCCCACGCTCCTGATCACTGCGTCGGCGTGTTCTCGACGAACAATAGCTAATGAGGGTCGTCTCGCCAGGCGGGGCCGGGATCCTCAGCCCCTCGCCCAATTACTTACGCTTGATTAACCATTTCACCGTCACGCTAGGATTCATCCAATTTTCAAAAAAAAAAATGGTTTCGCGTGTATTTAGCAATTTTTTCCTTACTCTCCGTTAAAAGACGAACAAAAAGAGGCCTTATTCATATAAATCGGCCGAAGAGAAGAGAAGTTACAGTATTCGAAACCCGAAGAAATCAACGAAACCTCGATTTCTCCATACAAAAAATAAAATGAAGGGAAAAAAGAAATATATAAATTACAATTAAAGATAATTGACCTCGGAATTTTTCGGGATTGAAATTACTTACATATTATTGTTTCATGAAAAATAAATGCACCCAAAATGACTATATTATATTGACTTTTACATATGTGCACTCACAAAATTGATTCGTAAATTCAACGAGTGGGTACATCGACCTGGTATATCAAGTTTATGCGATTATTTACGGCAAAGTGGTAGATTTTCGGGATGTAGATTGCTTACTTTCAATTCATGAATGAATAAAGCATGGACATGGTTGAACTTCTTTGCTTGGAAAGACGTTTAAAATAATAAAATCAAGACATATTTAAAGCAATTGCATTTATATCGAGTCAATTTCTTTTCAATAATATAATGGGATTAATCCTACCGATGATTTGGGTATTTTAGAACCAAAATACCTTAAAATCGACTTTATCTTTTAGGAGTTCGACAGAATTTTTCCTTTCTTCGCTTAAAGTCTTTCGTAGGACTTTTCTTCAAGAATCTGATAAGATTTTGCTTTCGAAAAGCTTTCTACATTCACAATACACGGTCTCGTCAAGGTTCGTCGTTGACCTTGCAGTGTTGGATCGTGAATTCTCTTGTTGTGCTGCTTGCCTATTTTGAAATCTCTGTAAATGAAAACTAAAGGGGCACGGTGCGTTTTAAACAATTTTCATGCGGTCAACATACCACCCGCGATTTTTTTGCGGAAATGTCAACTAGAAGGCCTACTGATTGAGGAACAACAAACCGCGAAATCTGTGATGGGGCCGTTTTTGAGAAAATGCGATTTTTCGCTTTTTTGGCGGGAATTTCGGGTCAAGGCGCTGAAAAAGTCAAGTTAGGCTGTTTTTGTAGTTCGTAAATGCATATCCTATACATTTTGAGCCAATCAAGTGCCAGTAGATAGCTATTCGTGCATAATGCCCAAAATTCATATCCTTAAATCCACGACTTTTGGGTTTTTGGGGGGTTAGTCAAGAGGAGAAATCCGAAAAAAAGAGGATTAACCCGGAACAAATTGCTTAACAAACTTTTCCTACGTAAACTTCTTCAGTAGGTCCTATTGAACAACATACCAAAAGTTT